AGGGCCAGTGTCCCCGCACCCCTGGGCTCAGTGAGAACCACCCAGCGCTGCTGTGGTCGCTCTTCACCATCTCAGGGCCTTCATTACACAACCATTGGTTAAAACCGGGCTCTGGAGATCCAAAACCAGCACAACAGTGACCGTCAAAACAGTATCTGATCTTTAGGGAACATTTACTCTGGTCCAGGAACTGATTTAAATAACACGTCCCGCGCTGTTAACTTATTCAGTCCTCACAACTGAGGGAAACCGAGGCACAGAGATATGACTCAAATACTGTGCCTGCCTTAGAGTGTCTGTCCATTACACGCAGTGGGAGAAGTGAGCACGTGTCATGGAAGCTCAGTGCTAAAACACCTAAATCAGACACGGGGTCAGGAAGGCTTCTTGGGGGATGATTTAAAAAAAAAAAAAATTTGCTTAATTGATTTTGAGACAGAGGAAGGGGGAGAGACAGAGAAACATTAATGTGAGAGCGGCATGCCCATCAGCTGCCTCCTGCATGCCCTTCACTGGGGCCTGAGCTCGAGACCCCGCCTGTGCCCTGACCGGCAGCCCCTCAGTGCCAGGGACGACGCCCAGCCAACTGAGCCCCACAGGCCAGGCCAGGAGAACATGATCTTGAGTAGACTCACTCCAGGCCATGAACGTGACGGGTGCCAAGGAAACTCAGTAAAGAAATATCTCAAGAGCACCCGTACCCAGGCCACTCCTTCCTTCCAGAAACTCTCCCAGGACACTTTATCGTAATCACTGTTCACCTGTGTGTCTCCCCAAGCTCAACTGTGCGCTCCTGGTAGGTCCCAGAATGTCTGGTTCATCCTTGTCATCAGGTGCCAGCATGGAAGAACCCTTGGATACGGATGGCACAGAGCACCTACTGTGTGCCAGATGCTACTTTCCATTTTCTTTTTTTAATGTTTTTTTAAAAAAATATTTTTTATTGATTTCAGAGAGGACGTGCGAAGGAGAGAGAGATAGAAACATCAATGATGAGAGAGATTCATTGATTGGCTGCCTGCTGCACGCCCCACACTGGGGATTGAGCCTGCAACCCGGGCATGTGCCCTGACCGGGAATCGAACTGTGACTATCTCAAGAGCACCCGTACCCAGGCCACTCCTTCCTTCCAGAAACTCTCCCAGGACACTTTATCGTAATCACTGTTCACCTGTGTGTCTCCCCAAGCTCAACTGTGCGCTCCTTGTAGGTCCCATCCATGATGTAGGTTCATCCTTGTCATCAGGTGCCAGCATGGAAGGACGCTTGGATACGGATGGCACAGAGCACCTACTGTGTGCCAGATGCTACTTTCCATTTTCTTTTTTTAATGTTTTTTTTAAAAAATATTTTTTATTGATTTCAGAGAGGACGTGCGAAGGAGAGAGAGATAGAAACATCAATGATGAGAGAGATTCATTGATTGGCTGCCTGCTGCACGCCCCACACTGGGGATTGAGCCTGCAACCTGGGCATGTGCCCTGACCGGGAATCGAACTGTGACCTCCTGGTTCATAGGTCAACGCTCAACCATTGAGCCACGACAGCTGGACTACTTTCCATTTTCCACCCTCCACTTTGGCATCCCGAGGCAAGCCCCATTCCCACATATGCACACCCTGCCCACAAGGGTACCAGAAGCCATGCATGCTCTCAAGGATACCCCACGTCAAGGATACCCCAAGTGGATGCTGATTTCCGGGCTGTGCAAGGGCACACATAGGTCCCAGGCCCCATCCCCTGTCAGTCCTGAGATATCCACCCCCCTAACCATCCTCTCCCAATACCTCCCTGGCCCCCCAGGCCAGCGATGGGCTGCTGGTGCGCTGGCAGAACAAGACTCTGGAGAGCCTCATTGAGCTGCACAACAAGCCACCATTCTGGAACGAAGCCACTGGCTCCTACACCCTCAACTTCCAAGGCAGAGTCACGCAGGCCTCCGTCAAGAACTTCCAGATCGTGCACGCTGATGACCGTGAGTATGAGGGCCGAGACCAGCTGGCCCCACAACCTCCGGACCCAGCCCTGGCTCACGCCTTTGCCCACCATCTTTCTCTCCCTGGAGCCAGAACATCTATGAAGGTGGCTCTTTTCTCCAGGGGCACTGACACTGTGCCCCCAGGAGCCTCAGGGATTCCACGCAGGTGTCTTAGGCTCATTCTTCCAGGCCCTCGTTCTAGCATTTACCAGAGTCCTGAGCAGAAACTGGGATAGTCTGGGTAAGACTGTGTCAAAGGGAGAGTTAAGCTGCTGGAGTTTGAAAACCACTGACAGCCCAACGCAGGTCATAGTGCTGGGCCCAGAGCGGGCAGCCCTTGCCCGGGCTTCTCAGATTCTACTTCACAGACACTTACACGGTCTTTTCTATGTGGCAGGCACTGTCCTCAGGGTTTCACAGAGATGGAATCATTAGATCTTTTCAACAACCCTGGGAGGAAGGTACTTAGTACTATTATCCCCACTTGGCAGATGAGAAAACTGAGGAACAGAGAGGTTCGGTAACTTGCCCAAGATCACACAGCTAGTAAAGATCACGCTGGAATCAGAACCCCCTTAGACCTTTAGGAGTAGGGAATATTAATCAAGCCTTTCTGAGCACCTACTCTACTGTCTTCTCTCAAAGGAGGTGAAAGGCCTGCCCTTGAAGATTTAGGGCAACAAGATGCACCCATAACATAAATTAAGTAAAAACGTCCCCGTTACAAGCGTGGGGAGAGGTCTGCACTAGGTTAAGGAAGCTTGGGAATGGAAAGGTGTCTCCCAAGGGATCCAGGTTCCCAGGGCAGCTAACAGGGAGCAACTTCCCCATCCCCCACTCGATCCTAGAGATGTGCTCCCAGTGTCACCTGTCCCCAGGCCTTGGATAACTGCTCTCCAGATCACATTTCTGGTGGAGCCTGGTCTGATGAGGTTGGGGGTATTTTTAGCAACTTCCTGTCCCTATGGATGCTGGGGGAGGTGTTGGGGGCTGAGCTGGGCCACAGGATGAAGAGGGAACCAGAGGGTTAGTCCGGGATTGAGCCTGGTGCTCTGAGATGGGACTGGGGGTGGGTTGGGGGGGAGGGGAGGAAAATGGGGTCAGAATGCAGCAGAAAAGTTGGCAAGGGAGGAATCTAGGTTTGAGGAAGTTTGACAGTTTCCTATACTTAAGTGGCGGTTCGTGCATAGCCCCGGGCGGCAGAAGATAAGGCCGGGTCCCTGTCCTCAGGGGCTTACAGTCCGAGGGAGGTAAAGCTGCAGGTGGGGCAGGTATAACGAAGGCGGCTGAGTACTGAGGTCCCCAGGCCCGGGAGGGGAACTGCCCCGCGGTCGAGGGCATGGATTGCCAGGCAGGGCCCAGGGCTGAGACGCCCGCCCTTGCTGGTCCACAGCCGACTACATCGTGCTGCAGTTCGGCCGCGTGGCCGAGGACGCCTTCACCCTAGACTACCGGTACCCGCTGTGCGCCCTGCAGGCCTTCGCCATCGCCCTCTCCAGCTTCGACGGGAAGCTAGCTTGCGAGTGACGGCGGCGGCACCCCAAGTCCCAGAGCCGCCGGGATCGGAAAGGACTCGGTGGAGGCTTCAGGGTCCCCTCACCAAAGCCCCCACTGAGGACGCCTCCTGTGTCGGGAGCTGACCCCTAACTGCCTCCAGGTGACCTCCATCCACTCCCCGGCCTGGCAGAGGCCGAGCGGGGGGAGGAGCTCAGACGGCGGGTGCGGAGCAGATGAAGAACATCTGGAGCTGGAGCCGCACATCTGGTCGCAGCGCTCGCCTGCACGCTCCACACACACACACACACACACACCCCGCCCCCGCCCGGCAGCCACTTCCTGTCCAGGGTCGGTAGCCAGTGCGGCTTTAACCCCTGTGGGACCGCGCTGTCGGGGCGGCGGGTGATGGGGCGAGGACGGGCAAGCACATCCCCAATAAAGCTGCGTCTCGGCGGCGGAGCCGTGGTGCTGCGCGCAGAGGAGGGAGGTGGGAGGGTCCGCG